CGTTCACCCCCTGCGATCCCCTCCCTCCTTTCTGGGGGGGGGGGGGTACAGGGGGCATCAGTCAATAAAGTGACTGATTCTGTATATATTATTCATATTTTACCCCGCAATTTCCCTATCAGTTGCCATGCGCTCCCCTGCTATCAGGGCATAATTCCTCTTTATATGTACAGTACATACAAATATGTGTACTAGAAGGTGAGATGAATCCATCGATGCCAAAATCGTCGCGATAGGTTATGCGAAAGCATTGTGTAAAAGTATCATATGTATATATATATATATATATATATATATATATATATATATATATATATATATATATATATATATATATATGTATATGTATATATATATATATATATATATATATATATATATATATTATATATATATATATATATATATATATATATATATATATATATATATATATATATATATATATATATATATATATATATATATATATATATATATCTTCAGGACTGGTTGAGTCTCCCGCACAGAGCTGAACCAAGCCGCGCACACAAGTAGAACCAAAACAGCCTCAGCCTCAAACAAAGGCTAATCAAAACAGGAGCCAGAACAGTAGCTTTGGGGCTACCAAAAGATTTCTATCTCCCTAGACCCTTAGAAAGGCCCTCAGGGTTCGCCCTGTCAGGAATACAATAATAATCAGATGAAGACCCTCAACCAGCGAGGAGTTAAACATAGCATTGTCAGACATGCCTGATAATGAGCACTGGGGCATCTGATGCTGAACAGGAAAGCATTCTACTCCACAAACGATACAGATGTTATTGATTTAGAGTAGCATCATGGATACCATTCACGCGACTGCGTGAGCGACAATCTCCTACTCCATGACAGCCAATCCGCCACGCTGCAGAGATGGTTTCGAATCTCCCACCGCTGAGATCCAACCAGCCTGGACCTCCTCAAACTGTACAGTGTGTACAGAAGACTAGGTCGCAGGATCTTAGATATCAACTACTGTACTACTATAGCACATGATCGTGCAATTAAAGGGGGAGACCAGTGATCAACACCCCATCTTGTCTCCCAACAGGAGAGCAGAATCGACAGGTTAACACATGGCCAAGATGCTTGGTTCATGTCCTAAGATCACTCCTCAGCAGCCATGAGACAACGCATATCACAGGAAGGGTCCTAGATCTCACTTTCGCCACTGCGGCTCTGGTGGAGAGAATTAGATGGTCTGTCGTCGAGACTGTCACAAACGACCACTATGGTACTGTCACCACTCTCTTGGACGCTCGTCCGGACCCCTTGTCAGAGGATAAACCTCGATGGAAAGCCTTTCATGATGCCTTGACCTAGTGCTTCAGATTCTCCTCTCCCCGCATTGCTGATATAATGTAAGGGAAGGACAAGACCCCATGCAGCTTGGCATATATATATATATATATATATATCTATATATATATATATAATATATATATATATATATATATATATATATATATAGATATATATATATATATCTTCAGGACTGGTTGAGTCTCCCGCACAGAGCTGAACCAAGCCGCGCACACAAGTAGAACCAAAACAGCCTCAGCCTCAAACAAAGGCTAATCAAAACAGGAGCCAGAACAGTAGCTTTGGGGCTACCAAAAGATTTCTATCTCCCTAGACCCTTAGAAAGGCCCTCAGGGTTCGCCCTGTCAGGAATACAATAATAATCAGATGAAGACCCTCAACCAGCGAGGAGTTAAACATAGCATTGTCAGACATGCCTGATAATGAGCACTGGGGCATCTGATGCTGAACAGGAAAGCATTCTACTCCACAAACGATACAGATGTTATTGATTTAGAGTAGCATCATGGATACCATTCACGCGACTGCGTGAGCGACAATCTCCTGCTCCATGACAGCCAATCCGCCACGCTGCAGAGATGGTTTCGAATCTCCCACCGCTGAGATCCAACCAGCCTGGACCTCCTCAAACTGTACAGTGTGTACAGAAGACTAGGTCGCAGGATCTTAGATATCAACTACTGTACTACTATAGCACATGATCGTGCAATTAAAGGGGGAGACCAGTGATCAACACCCCATCTTGTCTCCCAACAGGAGAGCAGAATCGACAGGTTAACACATGGCCAAGATGCTTGATTCATGTCCTAAGATCACTCCTCAGCAGCCATGAGACAACGCATATCACAGGAAGGGTCCTAGATCTCACTTTCGCCACTGCGGCTCTGGTGGAGAGAATTAGATGGTCTGTCGTCGAGACTGTCACAAACGACCACTATGGTACTGTCACCACTCTCTTGGACGCTCGTCCGGACCCCTTGTCAGAGGATAAACCTCGATGGAAAGCCTTTCATGATGCCTTGACCTTATATATATATATCTTCAGGACTGGTTGAGTCTCCCGCACAGAGCTGAACCAAGCCGCGCACACAAGTAGAACCAAAACAGCCTCAGCCTCAAACAAAGGCTAATCAAAACAGGAGCCAGAACAGTAGCTTTGGGGCTACCAAAAGATTTCTATCTCCCTAGACCCTTAGAAAGGCCCTCAGGGTTCGCCCTGTCAGGAATACAATAATAATCAGATGAAGACCCTCAACCAGCGAGGAGTTAAACATAGCATTGTCAGACATGCCTGATAATGAGCACTGGGGCATCTGATGCTGAACAGGAAAGCATTCTACTCCACAAACGATACAGATGTTATTGATTTAGAGTAGCATCATGGATACCATTCACGCGACTGCGTGAGCGACAATCTCCTACTCCATGACAGCCAATCCGCCACGCTGCAGAGATGGTTTCGAATCTCCCACCGCTGAGATCCAACCAGCCTGGACCTCCTCAAACTGTACAGTGTGTACAGAAGACTAGGTCGCAGGATCTTAGATATCAACTACTGTACTACTATAGCACATGATCGTGCAATTAAAGGGGGAGACCAGTGATCAACACCCCATCTTGTCTCCCAACAGGAGAGCAGAAGCGACAGGCTAACACATGGCCAAGATGCTTGATTCATGTCCTAAGATCACTCCTCAGCAGCCATGAGACAACGCATATCACAGGAAGGGTCCTAGATCTCACTTTCGCCACTGCGGCTCTGGTGGAGAGAATTAGATGGTCTGTCGTCGAGACTGTCACAAACGACCACTATGGTACTGTCACCACTCTCTTGGACGCTCGTCCGGACCCCTTGTCAGAGGATAAACCTCGATGGAAAGCCTTTCATGATGCCTTGACCTAGTGCTTCAGATTCTCCTCTCCCCGCATTGCTGATATAATGTAAGGGAAGGACAAGACCCCATGCAGCTTGGCATATATATATATATATATATATATATATATATATATATATATATATATATATATATATATATATATATATATGTGTGTGTGTGTGTGTGTGTGTGTGTGTGTGCGTGTGTGTGTGTGTGTGTGTGTGTGTGTGTGTGTGTGTGTGCGCGCGTGTGTGCGTGTGCGTGCGTGCGTGCGTGCGTGCGTGCGTGTGTGTGTGTGTGTGTGTGTGTGTGTGTGTGTGTGTGTGTGTGTGTGTGTACATATACATACCATACACACATATACACACAAACATACGTACAGACACATCCAAGTGTAGCCGCGTCTTCAAGCCTCCCCCCGTGGCCACCAGAGATGGAGGCGGAAACCACCTGATTTTGACGGGAAGGTAGCCTGGGAGGCCTACCTGGCCCAGTTTGAGCTCCGGGTTCAAGAGAGGGAAGGTGATGAGAAGACTCTGCAGCTCGTCTCCAGCCTTCCTGGCTCATTTAACCCCGTCGCAGTGAAGTTTAGCTTACTCCAACGTGGTGGGAGCGCTCCAGCAGAGGTTCGGCTACCACCACCAGGTAGAGGTGTACCAGGTCCGCCTCAAGGTCAGGGTACGGACCAGGAACAAGTCTTTCCTTCAGTTGGCCCAAGAGTTGGAGACGCTGCCGAGGACAAGGTGACCGTCCTGACGCGAGATTATTTTGTGGACGCGCTGCAGGATCGGGAACTTTAGCTGTATGCCAAGCAGGCTCTGGTGAGGGCACTGGAGCTGGAAGTTTTCTGCGGGCTGCAGTGGAGGCGCCGCAAACGACACCCCATCAGAGAGTTTCGGGACCAAGTGAGGGAGTCGCCCGAGGAACGGTCTGCCGCTGCCGGACGAGCAAGTCCTACAGGCTTCTGGGGCATCTGTGGTGCGACAAGAAACGGCACCGCCGGTGTGACTGCCCGAGGGAACGGGGGACACGTTTCCTAGACAGGCTGCCCACCTTTGCCTTCCAGCCATGGAAGGCAAACGTTAAATGTAAGATGGATGGGAAGCCGTGTCGGATTAGAGAAGATTATCGTGTGTCTCGTTGTGTTAGCTGCTTACGACACTTGTGAGGCGCCACAAAGACTCTGTGGGGTCAAGAGGCACTGTGCACCGCTCAGGGACACGGTTGAGGCTCAACTCAGCGTGGGTGACAAAGAAGTATTGCCTGTACATCATCGAGATGGAGGACCCTTGCCTACTTGGACTTGACTACCTCTTGCAGGTTGGAGCGTGTATCGACTTGAAAAAGCGGAAATTCAGGGTACATGGAGAAGAGGTGTCCTTGTCCTTCGGAATTGCACCAATGGAGGTAGTCACGGCTGAGTGTGAATTTAAAGGGAGTTGTCTGGGAAGTTGGCAGGTCGTGATTGCACGGCAGAATCCATGGAACCGCTAAAGCAGGCAGACGAAAGCGAGGAGGTAGCTTGTTAGAAAAGGCCACCTGGAAATGAAGGGGTGGTTACTGATGTCCCCCTCCCTGACCACTTGACTGACCTGGCGTACACCTCGTCCATAGATAGGATGAGAAGTTGAGGAGGTATGCTGCTGTGTTAAGTAGAGGGGACCTCGACCTGGGCTGCAGGGGGCTTGTTCAGCATCACACCAGGAAAGGAGATGTTGTGCCCATTAAACACGCCCTCGGAGAATTGCACCGATCCGGCACGAAGGGATGCAGCATACCATGAAGGAGCTGGAGGTGGATGGTGTAGTTGAGCACTCTGATCGACCGTGGTCGTCTCCAATCGTGTTGGTGAGAAAGGACAGAACCAAGCGATTCTCTCTCTCTCTCTCTCTCTCTCTCTCTCTCTCTCTCTCTCTCTCTCTCTCTCTCTCTCTCTCTCTCTCTCTCTCTCTCTCTCTCTCTCTCTCTCTCTCTCTCTCTCTCTCTCTCTCTCTCTCTCTCTCTCTCTCTCTCTCTCTCTCTCTCTCTCTCTCTCTCTCTCTCTTCTCTCTTCTCTCTTCTCTCTTCTCTCTCTCTCTCTCTCTCTCTCTCTCTCTCTCTCTCTCTCTCTCTCTCTCTCTTCCTCTCTCTCCCTCTTCCTCTCTCTCTCTTCCTCTCTCTCTCTCTCTCTCTCTCTCTCTCTCTCTCTCTCTCTCTTCCTCTCTCTCTTCCTCTCTCTCCCTCTTCCTCTCTCTCTCTCTTCCTCTCTCTCTCCCTCTCTCTCTCTCTCTCTCTCTCTCTCTCTCTCTCTCTCTCTCTCTCTCTCTCTCTCTCTTTCTCTTTCTCTCTCTCCCTCTTCCTCTCTCTTTCTCTATCTCTCAGTGGCGTAGTTAGAGGGGGGTCAGGGGGACGGAACCCCCCCCCCCCCTCTAGAGCTAAACTGCCATTTTGTCGAAAATTGCTAATCTTGTCACTAAGAAACGAAAATGTTTATTAAATTTTTGTCGGAAAATCTGCATTTCTCGCTCCCCCTATAAAATTTCCTATCTATGCCACTGCTTTCTCTCTCTCTCTCTCTCTCTCTCTCTCTCTCTCTCTCTCTCTCTCTCTCTCTCTCTCTCTCTCTCTCTCTCTCTCTCTCTCTCTCTTTCTCTCTCTCCCTCTTCCTCTCTCTTTCTCTATCTCTCAGTGGCGTAGTTAGAGGGGGTCAGGGGGACGGAACCCCCCCCCCCCTCTAGAGCTAAACTGCCATTTTGTCGAAAATTGCTAATCTTGTCGGATAATAATCATAAAGAAACGAAAATGCTTATTAAATTTTTGTCGGAAAATCTGCATTTCTCGCTCTCCCTATAAAATTTCCTATCTATGCCACTGCTCCCCCTCTCTCTCTCTCTCTCTCTCTCTCTCTCTCTCTCTCTCTCTCTCTCTCTCTCTCTCTCTCTCTCTCTCTCTCTCTCTCTCTCTCTCTCTCTCTCTCTCTCTCTCTCTCTCTCTCTCTCTCTCTCTCTCTCTCTCTCTCTCTCTCTCTCTCTCTCTGTTTAACAGATTCATATACATGCAGATACTAGAGCGCGGTTAGGTTTAAAAAAAATAAAAGAAAGTTACATAATGATTTAAAATAATACAAACAAATATTGAATGAGAATGAAATACTAAATGTGTTTCTAAAATTCTTATATACGAGTCACGTAAGGAGGAAATCAATTTCAATTATCAGTTAAAGAAGACTTTTATAAGAAAAGGAAGAAAAGCAATGATACACATAATTATTTTTTTTACAATTTTGTCACACCTGATTTACGTCTTTATGCGTGTTATCGATATATTTCTTTATATAAGAATGATCCTTCTGAATATATTATCTACGAAGTCAAGGTCATAGAGAGATATAGTAGAAGCATATGCTAATGTTCTGTTATATTTAAGGAAAGCTGAGTTATCAAGAATTAAATGTAAGGTAGATTAGCCTGATTGTAATGTAGATTGATATACAATGTGTGACAAATATGTATTAAAGATCAACATGCGAAAAACACCATCGTTTGAATTATTCTTCTTTATTGTGCTTCCGATTTTCCATTTTACAGCAAAAAATTGACCAACATATCCATCGCCCCAATTATCTCACGCAGTTGAGTTAAGGTAGAAAGCTAATGCAGATATTTCTTTAACTTACTTCGTTATGATAAGCAAAAGATGTATGACGTAGATTCTTATAAATTGTAAATTGTAGCGTGGAAATCAGAACATAGTGTAAGTATAATTTTAACCAGCCACGAATAACAAGCAGAACAGAGCATGGAAGCGACAGAGTGAAGAAATCTAAGAGACCTATCTTCAGGCATGAGTAGAAAATCGCAGTTCTTTGCTCTTTTTTGCCATAGTCTTGGCCGGAACATGGAATTACTGGACCAAACATGATTTTGATGTGTAGCTTGTGATTAATTATTTTATTTTTCATTTACTGAATAGCTATTCCTTTGTTGGGTTAATCTTTATGGTATTAATGTACTAAGATAGGGTAAATTGAAGATAATATTCTTGTAGAGGACAGAAAGTTGCCGTTGTTGGTACAAGAAACAATCTGCAAACATGAACATTAATGCCACAAATACAGGGAAAAAATTGTGGAAATTGCAGTTCTCAGCGTAAGTCCATTTGGTACTCCCGAGTTTCAGCTCTCTGTTCCTGCGTCTACCAAGGTGAAGACAATATTTCCCGTGGATGTTGAATAAATTTTGTGGTGTGGAGTTAGGGACTTAGCCTCTGGCAAGTGCATACATATTGTAAAGAATTACCCTATGTTGTCTCTGTGTCCAAGGAAATACACATGGATACACATGAGTTCTGTGACACAAAGCAGAATGCTTTATCTCAGAAATATTAAGAGAATCCATATACCACAAAAGAGACAGAGACACAGAAATAGATAATGATAGAGATAAAAGACAGAGACAGAGTCAGGGATACAGACACACAGATAGATATAGATAGATGAGAATTTCTATTGCTAAATATATAATTTGATAAAGTCCTAATGTTCTTTATTGATTGTGCTGTCTTCTTTCCAGAATGCAACAGTTCAGGTGGCCAACGTTGTTAGGGAAAAAATGGGATTTGCAGAGGAATGGATTGCTATGTTGGAATGCTGGTAACACTCTTAGGGTTAGTGTTTTTTGTATTATTCTAAATACAGTGTAATTTTGCTTTTATTTTTATTTTTAATGAAACTGATTTGATTCATTAACTCTTGATATTGAGACCTTAATGATTTGTATTCTTATAAAAAGTATATGTATGTATACTTATGGATAAATAGATAAGATATAGTTAGATCTATCTATCTATCTATCTATCTATCTATTATATATATATATATATATATATATATATATATATATATATATATATATATATATATGTATATATATACACATGTATATGTATAATATATATGTATATGTGTCTATATATGCATATATGTATGTATGTACATACATACATACATACATACATACATACATACATGTTTGAAAGATACTAGCAAACTTCAAATTTCCCGGGCACAAATATAGTTCAAGAGTCTGGTACTGTATAAGGTATGTTGTACTTATTGGGATTTATTTACAGGTATTCTTA